ATTTTTTAAAAGATGAAGTAAAATTATACATGTGTGTGTGTGTTTGTATGCATAAAGAAATTTTATAAAAATACCATTAGACTTCTATCTGCTATTTTTTTCATAGTATATAAAATGAAAAAAACCCAAATTTCAGAAAACTGGTAGAAAGATCTCATTTCAGTAAAATCAAACCAGCTGACCTCGATGTTTGTGTGTGGACAAGTGTGGCTGTTTGCACGATCAGGGAGAGAGCTGTGAAGGGTACAGGCCGGGGGGTCCCAGTCTCAGGGCGGGGCTGGAGGACAGAGGCAGCTAAGAAATAGGGGGAAGGAGGTGACAATGCGCCTGTGTGGGCCTCAAGATCGTTCAATCTGACACAGCAAGAACATCTTACCTCGGTCACTTGACAGCCATTAAATAGAAACCTGTGTTTTATTTGCTATTTATTTATTAGAGACAGGGTCTTGCTCTGTCACCCAGGCTGGAGAGCAGTGACACGATCATAGTTCACTGCAGCCTCGAACTCCTGGGCTCAAGGGATCCTCCTGCCTCAGACTCCAGAGGCATACCACCAGGCCTGATTAAAACCAGTGTTTTAATTAGTAGGAAAAAACACTGCCCCCCAACAGTTAGACCCTCCTCAGGTGTGGCCAGGGTACCTGGTGCAGACTGCAGCCCCAGCATCGTGCCTGGAATGGGAACCCATGAGCCACTTACGTCAATGGAGCAGCCCAGCAGGGAGCCCCTCTTCAAAGCCTTCTCTAGAATCTCATAGAAGTTCTCTGGGGCCTCTTTAGTTTGGAAGGTCTCTGCCACACCCCCGGTGAAGTCCTCCATGGCCTCGATGGCGCTGCCTCCCTTCAGAGCTTCATAGCTCCCGTTTAGCCTGCAAGGGTGGCAGGAGAGAGAGGAGACAGTCAGGGACCTCGGGAGGCCACCAGGGCATCCTGCAGTCAGAGCTTTTCTAACTAAGCCAGAACCATCTCCCAGGGCTTGTCCTGGCTGGGTGGTATGGAAGGAAGATGGGAAGAAAGCATCGGGGTTTGTTTGGAGCTCTAAGGAAGCCAAAGATCCTGAGCTTCCTGCAAGGGAGGTATGTGCTGTGGTGGTATAGAGCAGCAGCCCTGGTGCCTGAGTGGCTGCGTGTTCAAATCCTAGTTCTACCACTTACTGTCTGAACCTCCCCTCCCCTCCCCTCCTCTCACCCCATTCCCCCCTCCACTCCCCCCTCCCCTCCCTTCCCCTCCTCCCTCCCCTCCCCTTCCTTTCCCTTCCCTTCCCTCCCCTCCCCTCCTCTCCCCTCCCCTCCCCTCCCTTCCCTTCCCTTCCCTTCCTTCCCTTTCCTTCCCTCTTCTCAGCAGCATGAAAACAGACTAATACAATAGCTTATTTGGGCTTCCTTAGTTTTTACCTAATGTCCTTTTCTGTTCCAGAATCCCACCCAGGACCCCACATTGCACCTGAGTCCTCACATGTCCTCAGACTTCTTGTGGCTGTGACAATTTCTAAGACTGTCCTTGTTTTTGATGACCTTGATGGTTTTGAGGAGTCCTGGGCAGGTATACTGTAGGATTAGAATTTGTCTAATTTTTTTTTCTCATAAGACTAGGGCTATTAAAGAAATGATAAATGCTCGAGGTGATGAGTATCTCAATTACCCTGATTTGATCATCACACATTGCGCACTTGTAATCAGAGCATCAAATGTGCCCTATAAATACGTACACTATTATGCATCCATAAAATTATAAAATGAAACTTTTTAAAAAATTAAAATAAATAGATGGGTGTGGTGGTTGGTGCCTGTAATCACAGCACTTTGGGAGGCTGAGGCAGGAGACTCACTTGAGCCCAGGAGTTCCAGGCTACAGTGGGCTATTATGGTGCCACTGCACTTTAGCCTCGGTGACACAGCAAGACCCTGTCTCTAAAAAAAGTTAATAATAATAAAAAAAGAGTAGGGCTATTGGTTAGTGGGAGGAAGACCCCAGAGGCAAAGCACTCCTCTCATCTCATCAAATCCAGGGTACCTGCTATCCACATGCCTTACTATGGTTGATGCTGGCCTTGATCACCTGGCTAAGGTAGTGTTAGTCAGGTTTCTCTACTGGAAAGTTACTCCTTCTCTCCCCTTTCCATACTGTACTCTTTGGAAGGAATCATTATGTGAGCCTACATGAAAAAAATAGGGAGTTCGAGAGGCTGAGGCAGGAGAATCAGGGGGTTGATGATGTAAGTCCAAGTTTGAGTCCAAAGGTTTGAGAACTAGGAGCTCCAATATCCAAGAGCAGGGGAATATGGATGTCCCAGCTCAAGTGCGGTGACTGAATTCACCCTTCCTTTGTCTTTTTCTTTTATGTGGACCTTTAACAAATGTAATAATGCTCGTCCACATGGGTGGCAGCAATCTTCTTTACTCAATCTACTGATTTAACAACTATTTTCTTCAGAAACAACCTCACAGACACACGCAGAAATAATGCTCCACCAGCTATCTGGGCATCCCTTGGCCCAATCAAGTTAACACATAAAACTAACCATAACACCATCTATACATCCTTTTTTTTTTTTTTTTGGTGAGGTGTTCTCTCAACCATTTTTGGCCTTTATAAATGACTCCAATAAACCTTTTTTCATGTTTAGAAACTAGATGATGCATAGTTTCTCTTGCCTTGCTTGCATCCTGATGTGTGGGGCACTCACCAAGGGGCAGAGCTGGGCTTGGACTTGGAAAGAGTGCCCCTTTCCTCCCTTTAAGCCTTTCTGGTGGCACTGATGGTGTTTGGGTGGGACAGAGGGCAAGAGTGGGCGTCTTTGGTTCTTCTGTGATGGTTTTAATTCTGTCCTGCTGATTTCAAGATTAATTTAACTACAGTACACCTTCACTCGATTTTGCCACTTTTATGCCTCAGTTGGAGGTAGAAGCAAGACAATCCTACTTTCTGTCTCTGAGAACAGGATTCTCATGACTTGAAGATCCAGGCTGAACCTAAAAGTGACTCTTCAAGGAGAACTACAAACCACTGCTCAAGGAAATAAGAGATGACACAAACAGATGGAAGAGCATTCCATGCTCATGGTTAGGATGAATCAATATTGTGAAAATGGCCATACTCTCCAAAGTAATTTATAGAGTCAATGCTGTCCCCATCATGCTGCCATTGACTTTCTTCACAGAACTGGGAAAAACCATCTTAAATTTCATATGGAACCAAAAAAGAGCCTGCATAGTCAAGACAATCCTAAGCAAAAAAAACAAAAACAAAAACAAAAACAAACAAACAAAAAAACAAAGCTTGAGGCATCACACTACCTGACTTCAAACTATACTACAAGGCTACAGTAATCAAAACAGCATGGTACTGGTACCAAAACAAAGATATAGACCAATGGAACAGAGGCCTCGGAAGTAATGCCACACCCCTACAACTATCTGATCTTTGATAAACCTGACAAAAACAAGCAATGGGGAAAAAATTTCCTGTTTAATAAATGGTATTGGGAAAACTGGCTAGCCATATGCAGAAAACTGAAACTGGGCCCCCTCCTTACACCTTATACAAAAATTAACTCCAGATGGATTAAAGATTTAAACATAAGACATAACACCATAAAAACCCTAGAAGAAAACCTAGGCAAAACCATTCAGGACATAGGCATGGGCAAGGAGTTCATGACTAAAAACAAAAAGCAATGACAACAAAAGCCAAAATAGACAAACGGGACCTAATTAAACTCCAGAGCTTCTGCACAGCAAAAGAAACTATCATTAGAGTAAACCGGCAACCAACAGAATGGGAAAATTTTTTTGCAATCTACTCATCTGACAAAGGGGTAATATCCAGAATCTACATATAACTTAAACAAATTTACAAGAAAAAAGCAAACAACCCCATCAAAAAGTGGGTGAAGGCTATGAACAGACACATCTCAAAAGATGACATTTATGTAGCCAATAAACATATGAAAAAAAGCTCATCATCACTGGTCATTAGAGAAATGGAGATCAAAACCACATTGAGATACCATCTCAGGCCAGTTAGAATGGCGATCATTAAAAAATCTGGAGACAACAGATGCTGGAGAGGATGTGGAGAAATAAAAATGCTTTTACACTGTTAGTGGGAGTGTAAATTAGTTGAATCATTGTGGAAGACAGTGTGGCGGTTCTTCAAGGATCTAGAACTAGAAATACCATTTGACCCATCAATCCCATTACTAGGTATATACCCAAAGGATTATAAATCATTCTATTATAAGGACACATGCACACCTATGTTTTTTGTGGCACAAGAGCAAAGACTTGGAACCAACCCAAATGGCCATCAATGATAGACTGGATAAAGAAAATGTGGCACATATACACCATGGAATACTATGCAGCCATAAAAAATGATGAGTTCATGTCCTTTGCAGGGACATGGATGAAGCTGGAAACCGTTATTCTCAGCAAACTGACCCAAGAACAGAAAACCAAACACTGCATGTTCTCACTCATAAGTAGGTGTTGAATGATAAGAACACATGGACACAAGGAGGGAACATCACACACTGGGGCCTGGGAAGTGGGGGGCTAGGAGAGGTGTAGCAGGAGGGTGGGCGGCTAGGGGAGGGATAGCATTAGGAGAAATACCTAATGTAGATAACGGGTGATGGATGCAGCAAACTACCGTGGCACGTGTATACCTATGTAACAAACCTGCATGTCCTGCACATGTACCCCAGAACTTAAATAATTAAAAAAATGAATGTCTTGGTTCCACTTATATGAGGTTCCTAGACTAGTCAAATCATAAAAACAGAAAGTGGAGTGGTGTTGTCGGGGCCGTGGGAAGGGAGGAATAGGAAGTTGTTGGTTAATAGAGACAGAATTTCAGTTTTGCGAGATGAAAAGTTCTGGAGATAGATGGAGGTGGTGGCTGCACAACAATGCGAATGTACTTAATGCCACTGAACTGCACACTCAAAAGTGGTAACATCTCTGTCATATAGATTTTATCACGATATTTTTAAAAACAAAAAAGCAGCATCCTGTGGGATGGACAATTGATGTGTCTATAGCCACGTGGGTAATAGCCCGGATGTTTGAGCCATGCCAGTATCCAAGGGAAGTCTGAAGCACCAAGTGCTGTTGGCACAGCCAGAACCCCCCTCCGCTCGCCTTCTCAGCTCTTCCAAGGGCCAGATTCATGACCCAGGGAGACAAAGGGTCATGAATGTAGCCACTGTTCTCAAAGATGGGCACATCTAGGCCACGACAAGAAAACCACCTCCAACCCTGCTCAAATCCTGAGAAGGTTGGGTCATGGAGAGCCTCACATGTGAACCCAGAGCCCCGGTTTCCTCCCCAGCCCTTAGATGCTCTCTACAAAGGCCTGTGGAGGGACTCCTGTCAGGAGGCTGCCCAGCTGGGAAAGCTATCACTCACTTGGCGTAGGCTTTTTCCAGCAAGGCACTCCAGAACTCATTGTGGTCGGCAGAGTGGAGGAAAACCAAGCGGTCCCTGAAGGTGGGCAGACGGTCATCGATCACCACGTCCAGCCACTCGCTGTGCTGCCAGAACTGTTGCCCAGGATAAAGGGGGAGATGATGGGAGTCAGCTGCACGGGAGCTCCAGGCCTTGTCTGTAAGTGTTCATCCTCTTGCTTTCTTACCCTCTGACCAAGCTACCCATTGGGTAGTTTTGAAACTCACACATGGGTTCCATGGTGGGGCACCTGGGCTTTGTCCACTAAGTTACAAGCTGAGCATCCTACCCAGCACCAACCACTGACATCTGCTCAAAGACTCAGGGTCAACCCATCAAAGCCGGGGGCGAGGGAGGAGGCAGGACAGGAGTCACAGGCAGACACTCTGAGGTGCTCTAAATTAGTTTTCATCTTCACGAGAAAGTTGTTTTTGTGGAAGAGGGGGATGGTAACGTAGGGTTTGGTTCTGCTATTCTGTAGCCCAGTCTCTGATATTCTCTCCCACCCAGTTTCCGGGTCTAGCTCCAGTTTTCCTTAACTGTTGCTCCCTTCTCGCCCGTAGGTGAAGCCCCTAAGACTGATTTGTTGGCCATTCACACAGGAGGCAGGTGGACTCGGTGTTCCCCGCGTGCCAGGCGAGGAGACATGAGGGGAGCGTGGGTGTGTGTGAATGCGTATGTGTGCACACATGCATATACACATGCATGCATGCAGGCATGACAGGTATGTGCATCGTTTGTGGTTCATTTATACATTGCACTGTGCAAGCATGTGTTTGCTCACATGTGTGCAACCGTGTGCATGCAGGCACATGTACGTTTGCGTGTGTGTGCATGCATGTATGCACACATGTGTTTGCAACTGCATATACACAGGTTTGTGTTTGAGCATATGTATGCCATATGTATACATGTGCATGAGCTTGTGTGTGGTCTGCTGGGAACAGGAGGGAGGTTGGAATGAGTCAAGGACCTTGTGTAGTTTCTCTGTGTATGCTCCAGGGCCCCACCTTCTCCCCATTCTTTCTGGTTCAATTGGCCTGAGAGCGATCCTAAGGTAACATTGAAGAGTAAGGAGAAAGAGGTCGAAAGAGGAGGGTAGGCACCGTGGTTCTGGGAGCCATTTATTTACAGTTTTGCTGTGTCATCCTGAGCATCTTGCTGCATCAGTGATTCAATCCCTATCAGAAGACTCAGCCATAGTGTGGGCTGAGGGTTTGTGTGTGTGTGTGTGTGTGTGTGTGTGTGTTAAGGAAGATTCCCGTCACCTGCCCCAGCTGGACTTCCCCTCTGGGGCTTCCCACTCTTGGGGCTATTCGCAGCTTCAGTTGGACTGAGGCACAGTTGAGACAGGTGTTTAAAGTCCAGGCCTGGGCCTTGGGCTTCCTGAGCAAGGGAGGGGTGGGGAGGAGCATCAGGGCTGGTCTTCCTTGCAGAGGGGTCGGCTCAGGGGACCTGTGAGCCAGGAGAGATGTATTTGCCAGGCCAGAAGGCTCTGCTAACTTCTAGCACCCACACACCTGTACTGTGGCTGAGGGGTGGAAGAGAAGTGTGAAGGAGGTGGATTTATTTCCAATGCTCTGCTTTCCAGGAGGCCAAGGAGGGGAGCGGGCAGAGTATTGTTACTGTGGGACTGACAGGCAACAACAGGTCAGTCCCACCCCACCTGATCTCTGGGGGCACTAAAGGATGCTGGAGCCAGAACCCCTGAGTTCTAGAGCTGGCTTGGCTACTTACTGTTTTGTGACCTTGGATCAGCCACTTCCACTCCCTGGGGCTCAGAGTCCTCAGGGGTCAAATGAGGGGACTGGGTCAGGGGATTGCCAAGGCTCCTCCCAGCTGTGACATTCCAGGGACAAGAACACTATTTCCTTGGGAAGCCCAAGATCAGATGTTGGTTGGTTCCGGTGTAGAGGCAGCAGTTCTGTTGGATTTTCTGAGCTTAAACACCCCCAACACTTCCATCCTGGTGTGTTCAAGGGGACCGGGGAAAGGCCGGCTCCTGGGGACACCATCAAGCCAAGGCTGTGGGCTCAGCAGAAGTCACAGGAGGGAGGGGAGACAGCCAGGCGGTGGCAAGTCTAGGGGAGAGCAGCAGTAGAGTTTCCCTAGACCCCAAAGTGACTCTGTCCCCAGCCGGCGCAGGAGGCCAGACCCCTGGGAACGGCAAGCTTCCTGACTATACATGGCCGGCTTGCTGTCTGTGCCTTTGAAACACGTCTGTGCGATTGGTGACTGGACTCGAGAGTACCTCTGCTTATCAGATTGCAGGCCTCAGGGACAGAAGGAACAGGCTGGCCCCGAGTGGTGGCCTGTGAGTCAGGAGAAGGTGACACTGCCGGGGGTGGAGGGTAAAGGAGTGCGGGCTCAGTGCCAGCTCCTGCGTGTGATGTGACGCGGCTCTACAGGAAGCCCGCAGGGAAGCGTCAGTCTCTCCTTTGTTCAGATGAGTGTAGACAGGCTTAGTGTCACCAAGAAAACTGCCTGAGGTCACCCGCCTAAGTAAGTACAAGGGGCAAGCTTCAGTGTCTGGGTTGAACCCTCTGTAAGGATGGGGGTGGGTGAGAGAGTGGGGGGATAGAAAGTGGAGGTGAAGGGGCAGGACACGGTCTCCTGGGAGCCCGATGAGCACCTCGACGGAGGGTTTGTGGCCACACAGGACTCCAGCAGCGGCTGTCCGTGTTTTTCTCAGTTTGTATTTTTTAAAAAATAAAATATATTTTTTAGTTTTTATTTTTTTAGTGTTTTTCTCAGTTTTTATTTTTTTTAGTGTTTTTCTCAGTTTTTATTTTTTAAAAAATAAAAAAAATATTTTTAAAAAAACTCCCTCAAGATCTCCAAATTTACATTTCTTCTACAAGGAGTCCCTCTCAGTTTATGAGAAATCAACCAGTTTCCTGGAGGTATAATCAGTTTAGTCAATTTGTGCTTAAAGCATCAGAAATTCCAAAAAATAAAACCCTTAACATGAAGACCTCCAGATTGGCCAAAACATCACTTATAGTTTTACATCTACGTTCCGTAAGGATTTGCTGTGCAATGCTATTAACATTCTTCAGAGGTATTTCGCTGTTATTCCATGATCAAGTGTGGCTTTGGCGTGGTTTAGGACCATATGTCACACAGATCCGATGCCATTTTTTCCAGGATTACCAGGCAGTGTGAAAATGTACCCGGCATTATGCTAAGCCTCAGAGAGGTAAACCCACTGGCCCAGGGCTGCCTCTTACCTGGAAATGGAATATCCCCGCATAACCAGGGCCAAAACTTTGGTCCTGGGGGATGACTCTGGCCAGCGCTTTTTGATTAAGCGTAAGGGAGGCGATGGCGGCTAATAGCCAGCAGTCTCCTGCAAAATGAAAGCCATAAATCACAGTTTTCATTGCTATTTCACAGCAAATAGGAAAACTCTGTGCCAGAAGGGGACACGGGGAGTTCCAGATGTGGCCACGTCTTTTCTACCTGTTTAAAAACAGGCGGGACCCTGACAAGTCCCCTCCCCTTCTGCTTCCCTTGACTGCTCTTCTGCCCAGTCTATCATAAACAGCTGTTGCCTTCTTGGCACGGTTACAGGATATGCGTACTTGGGTTTCAGACATATGGCTGCATGATGCATCAGCTCTGTGAATTCCAGCAACTTCCTTTCCAGAGGCCCGAGGCTGCACCCATCAGTGTTAGTGTGGGCTTGGCGAGCAGGCATTTTGTAGCTGCAGCCTGAACTGTTCTGCAGTACTTGGGAGGGTGGTTAGAAATAGCCCCTGCAGCCCCAACTCGGACTCAGCTTAATTACAGACAGTGGTACCTCTGCGGTACCTACTGAACTTCCCAGCTATGTCTTCCGGAAGAAAACCTCTGCCCACACTGAGTGTGGACTCGTGTCTGGTGTGTGCCTCACAGCATCTCAGATGCTGCCTGTGTAAGCAGATATCTGAAAGGATCCATTGATCCAACAGGACCCCTCGGCTTTATCCAGATTCATTTCAGTAGGCAACATCAACGTCATTGGAACCTAAGAGCCCATCACGCTCGGCTTACAGTTTCCGAGTTCACATTTCTGGAAAGCACTGTGTACCACTGGGCTTGGGACATTGTAATATGGCCGCTTTCTGGCTATCTTACACAGGCAAGAGAGACTCGCCAGGGATGAACATTTGGAAAACGACTTCCAAATCGCCCTGGTTCTGGCTTTGTGGGAGGTGTCAGCAGGGGACAAGCCACCCCCAACCTTAGCTGGGGCACAGAAGGATTGGTGTCTAATGCATCTGCTGGTCTTTGGGAGCCTCGGGTCAGCTTTGGGAGATGCCACTAGGAAGTGACATGGCTGGAGCTGGCAGGGCCATTCGTTCACAGACTTTACCAAGTGCCTCTAGGGTGGCAGACCTTGTGCCACACAGAGGACACAAAGATAAGGGGAGACTCAGTGTCTGCTTTCAGCTCCAGGCGGCCAGGCCAGCGGGAGTGTAATAGAGTGAACTCAGCTGTGGGCTGACCTTCCCCAGCTTCCTCCAAGCTTTAACTTTGCCCAGTTGAAGAAAATGATTGCTTCCTGGCCTGAGAGCTCAACACCTCACAGGTATTCAGCCAGAAATGCCCTGAACTTTTGGAGGGGGAGATTGAGAAGCCAATGTTATTTATACAATTTAAAAGAAAGGAAAAAAACTCAGCAATAAAACAAGATTGCATTCCTCTCTGTTGGGCCTGGGCAGATGGATGGGGCTAGCCACCCAGCTGTGCCTGGAGAGGTGCCCTCTGTGGGTCAGTATGTTGCTCGGCTGTCTGGGTGGAGCAGGCTGGAGCACAGTGGCAGGATCTCGGCTCACTGCAGGGGAGAACCCTGTGTCTCTCAGCTTCTCAGGGACCCCCTGCTGCAGTTGCTCTCCTGATCCCGCAACCCAGCCTCCCTCTCGCCATGCTCCATCCCCTCACGCTCACCTCTCCTCCCCAGGCAGATGACAGCATGCCTTGATGCTGTTCTAGTTCTTTCTTTTCTTTTTTTGATAGAGATGTGGTCTTGCTATGTTGCCCAGGCCAGTCTAAAACTCTTGGACTCAAGAGATCTTCCCACCTCACCCTCCCAAAGCACTGGGATTCCAGGTGTGAGCACTGCACCCAGCCAGATGTTCTAGTTCTCATTGTGGGTGGCAACAGGTTGTGGCTGTTCATTTTCTTGTTATTCTTTATAACATATATATGCCACGTACAGTACTTGGGTGTAGTAAAAGTGTTACAAAATAATATTTAGAATCAACCATCCACTAAGGTAAAATATAAGGTTGTAACTTGAAATACGTGTTTATGCCAATGCGACAAACCAAAACAAAGAAGCCAGTAGAATGATTTCCTGTTGGATAGCAGTGGAGGACTACAGGGTGGAGGGGAAGGGAGGCAGAGGAGGAAGGGGAGAGGTGGGCAGTGGCAGGGAGTATCACCTAGAGAAGGACCACCAGAACATAAACATTTTGAAAAGTCTACATTATATCTAGAATATGTAGTGGTCCCTTGGTATACATGGGGGATTTGTTGCAGGACCCCTGTGTATACCAAAATCTGTGCATATTCAAGTCCCACAGTAAGCCCTGTGCAATCTGCCTATACCAATCAGCCCTCTGTACGTGAGGATTTCAAAACCTGAAATAGTATATTTCCTCCCTCCCTCCCTCCCCCTTCTTCCCCCTCCCTCCTTCCCTCCCTCCCTTTCTTCCTTCCGTTCTCCCTTCCTTTCTCCCTTCCTTTTCTTCCTTTTTGTTTGTTTGAGACAGTGTCTTACTCTGTTGCCCAGGCTGGAGTGCAGTGGTACAATCTCAGCTCACTGTAGCCTCAAATTCCCTGGCTCAAGTGATCCTCCCACTTCAGCCTCCCAAGTAGCTGAAACTATGGTCACGCACCACCAAGCCTGGCTAATTTTTCAATTTTAATGTTTAGTAGAGATGAGGTCTCACTATGTTGCCCAGACTGGTCTCAAACTCCTTGGTTCAAGCAATTCTCCTGCCTCGGCCTCCCAAAGTGCTGGGATTACAGGTGTTAGCCATCACACTTGGCCTGGGATATGGTATTTTCTATCTGTGTTTTGTTGGAAAAAAAAAATCCACTTATAAGTGGTCCTGCACAGTTCAAACTCATGTTGTTAATGGGTCAACTGTAATTCTCTATCATCCATCAGCCGTCTACACCTATCCATGCATGTATTTACCCACCTACCTTCCTATCGTTATTTCTCTATTATCTATCTATTGTTATCTATTTATTTTGTATGATCTATCATTCAGTCAATCAACCTATCAATCTAGTTATCTATCTAATGATGCATCCATTTTCTACCCGTCATCTGTTACTTATTATCTGTGTTTCTATCTATCCATCTGCTTCTCTCTCTCTCTCTCTTTCTCCTCTCTCTCTCTCTCTCTCTCCCCCCCTCTCTCTCTGTCTCAGTTGTCTATCTGCTAATTAACTATCATCAGTCTAGGTTTGTGACTTTGGATCTTGTGTTTAAGGTAGCTTAGTTGCTCAGCATGGAGGTTCCAGCATGGCCTTTCTTAACCAAGAGACCACAGTGACAACCTCAGCCATGAAAGTCAGGGTCTGCATAAGCTTGCAGCGGTGAGCTCTCTTGGCTGATTTCACTGGCATTTTTTTTATTTTAAGAAAGTCTCTCTCTCTCTTTTTTATAGATAGAATAAAGGTAAAACCAGCCCAGTTGGATTAAATCCTAAAATGCAGGACCCAATTTGAGTGCCTTGAGGCACACTCAGGTCAATGGCAGGAGGGAGAGTGGATTGCTGCCCAAGGTATGCTCCTCAAGAGGAAGTGTGTATAATGGTTAGCAGCAACGGCTCTGCTGCTGGACTGCCTGGGTTCAAACCCTGATTGCCTATCTCCCACCTCTGTGACCTTGGACAAGTTACTCAGCCTTCCTCAGCCTCTGTTTCCTCATCTGTGATGTTAGGAGGATGGGTTGGGAAAATGAAACGAGGCCATGTGTGCAGGTGTTCACTACCGTGGTGGTGCCAGAGAGCCTGGCCATGCTGCTGGGTGTCACTCTCCTCTGCAGACTCTGGGGCTGGGAGCCCCACATCACAGGCGTGTCTGACTCTAGAGGAACAGGATGCAGAGCTCCATGACCTCTGTGGGGTTCCACGAGGCTTGAGGCCACTGGACTCCATTCAGAGGGAGCAAGGAAGCAGAGGCCAAAGCAGTGTTGCTGCCCCGGCCCTGTGCCTCTTGGGTCCTCAGGGACCCCATGCTGCAGCTGCTCTCTTGTCCCAGTGACCCAGCTTCCCATCCCTTCACACTCACCCAGCTCCCCCTGGCAGATGTCAGTCCTGGTGGCCCCTCCGATAATGAATTCCGGGTTTTTCACGATTTCCTGGAGGAATGAGAGTGTTATTAGGCTGAGGCCGGCCATGCTGCAAGCCACCAGGAGAGGGCGGGCTCAGTCTCTCTGCTCTCTTGGGGCAGAGGGCTTTCCCATGCTTGATTCTTTTCCCCGAGGAGGGCCAGGTGGATGTAAAAGGCTGCCACCCCTCTTTGCTTTGGACAAGCCTGGGCTCATCTTTGGTAAATCTCCCCCAGGGAGAGGTCCTGCCTCCTGAGCAGCACTCAGCACCAATCTCTGGCCAGAGAGACTCCGGCCGCACCTGGCCATAAAGTGGGACATCCAGGCACACACTGAGGATTCCTGTGCCCACTCAGGCACTGGGCTAGGAGTCCAGGGCTACCCCAGCTGTGAGCTCTGTGACCTCTGTGGGCTTCAACAGTTGAGTATTACATGCACCACAGGCTGGGGCCTTGGACTGAACCCAGCTTCTCCATTTCTTTCTTTATATAACCCTTCCCCACCAGTGGATACCAAATATATAGGTTTAGAGACAGGGTCTTGCTCTGCCGCCCAGGCTGGAGTGCAGGGACGAGATCATAGCTCACTACAGCCTTGACTTTCCGTGCTCAAGCCATCCTACCCCTTCAGCCTCCCAGGTAACTGGAACTACAGGTGTGAATCTCCATGCCCAGCTAATTTTAAATTTTTTTTGTAGATATAGGGGTCTCGCTATGTTGCCCAGGCTGGTTTCAAAGTCTTGGCCACAAATGATCCTCCCACCTTGGCATCCCAAGGTATTGAAGTTAAAGACACATGCCACGCTGCCTGCTGTGTCTTTTTTTAGATATGCACTTAGGTGAACTTTTATGTATCTATACCATATAGAGAGATGCACACGTCTCTCATATGGTTCACAGAAGTGCATTTTACATATATGTGTGTATATATATCATTCTACATTACACATAAGCACATACATTATATGTATTAATCTAATCAATAATACATATCAATATACACATATGCAATATGGAGAGATATTTACAAAACAAAAAAGTGTAGAAAGCAATCTTATGAAATTCATATATTCTGCCAATTTTTGAGTTGCTGGGCTCCATTCCTGGCACTGGACAACAGCAAAGAGAGAGGGAAAACCCCTGTGGAGCTGCCCCGGACGTGGTGGGTGATGCTCGCAGAAGCCTCACTCCGTCCCATCCTTCTGCCCCGCCTCTCCCCCAGCCTGCCTCCGACCTGGCCTCACCCACTGCACCCACTGTGCCTGCAGCTGCCACCACCTCCCAGAAGTGGTTGTTTTGTTCAGGAGAGTTTTGCAAATTGCATCTGAGGAAGAGACAAACCATATATCAGGAGAGAGAAGAGGAAGGATGGGGAGGGAAGGTGGTGGGATGGGGCGAGGCCAGCTGCAGCGATCAGCTGGGGAGGTGTCTCTGGGGGAAGCAGAGGAGCAGGGACCTAAACAAAGGGAGGGAGGGAGGAAGCTGGGGCAAGTCCTGGGAGAGGAAACAGCCAATCCTGAGACAGCGATGCAAGTTTGGTGAGTTTGGTGAGCTCGCGGGCCGGGGCCTGCAGAGGAGTAAAGGATTTTTCCCACCTCTTCCCACTTTTCCAGGCACCACCACTGAGGAGGGGCCTGGCCTGGAGGTGGAAGATTCCAGCAATGCCTGGGCGGACGCTGTTGGGCGAGCTCAAGCTTCGCCACCTTCCCCGGGAGATCCCTGCTTTGAATTGTCTTCCCCAGGCTTCTCGGGACCCTGCCTCTCCTCTCATCTTGTGTCCCAAAGAATCAAAGCCAGGACAGAGATTTCTTTGAAGTGAAGGGGATTCTCAGGACCAAGAGCAGAAGCTTCAAGTGCTGGTGCTCCCTCTGCATCCCCCAGAACGTGCCAGCCTGGAGGAGTGACAGACACCAAGGGCACCTGCCCAGGGAGAGCTATGTGCAGCGTTAGTATCTAGAATATTCAAGAAAGCTTGGCCAGGAGAATTTCTGAAGAACACTGGGTGTTTGTTTTTAGATGCACCAAAACCCCAGGCCCGGCAGAGGCGAGGACCTTCCAAATGCTGGCCCCTCCTCCGCTGGGTCTCACACATCTTTGCATTTCCACCCCCAGCTCCAGGTAGCCTTGGAGCCTTTTCATTAAGTGAGCCTGATGTCCATGCTGGCAGGAAAGGCCGTGAAGGTGGGGTGGCTGCTTGGTGCTGGGTCCTGGCTTGCCTGTGCGGGCCCCTACCCTCTGTAGGAGGCTCAGTGCTGTTTTTCCTCCTCCACCTCACTAGCCTAGGAGTTTGCAGGTGGCTCCCAGCTGAGCCCAGAGCGACAGTGCGAACCAGGACCATGTTAATGGGCCTTGATAGAATCCCAGCAATAGCCTGCCCCTCTCAGCAGCTGGGCTCAGCGTGGGCCATTTAACTTCTCATGGTTGTGTTCTCATCTGTCACCAGCTTAGACATTCTAGACTTGTTGCAGAATGTGCCTGCCCCAAAGGGAACCCCAGGAGTCCCCCAAGCCTTCTCTGTCTTGATTGCCGAGCCCCTGCCAGGGGATTGCCCTGACAAGCAATGCCCCCACTGCCAATGCTACTCAGTCCTCAAGTGGACAGAAAATGGACTCCAAAAGCCACAGATCCCTGCCCAGCAGGCTGTGCCGGCTCCTGTGACGGGCTGTCCCCGGATGCCCGCCTCCTTCCCATCCTCCATGCCCCTCCCCTCCCCCAGCCTTCCTCAGGCCTGGCCCTGCCAGCCATACCAACTGTGCCCACAGCTGCCACCGCCTTTCAGCTCCTGCCCTGCAATTGGTTGTATTGTTCAGAATTTTGTTTTTGTTTTAAGTCAAATCGCACCCAACAAGGATAAACACACAAAAGGAGAAAATTCAGAAACTGCCACCAAGTAAATACAAATTAGCCATCTGGTATAAACTGGGAGGTGCCTGGATGAGTGACCGGCCCCTCTGTGGGTCAGTATTTCTGGAATTGGTGTGCACACGTGCCAGTCACAGGGGGTTCTGCGGACACACGTGTGGAAGGGGCTGCTGGGCCGCAGGCCCGGGTTAGGTGCCTGAGAGTGGTATGTATGCTGACGGGCCACATGCCCACCCGTGCAAGGTGCCTGTGACTCGCCTTGGCGTGTGTGCCCAGGTGTGGTACACGTGTGTGCCTGTGCATGCTCCACATGTGTGCTGGTTGCATGTGCACTTGGGAGCATTGTCCATGTGTGTGTCCTGCATGTGCATGTTGATCCCGGATGCACATTTGTTCCTGTGAAATGTTGTTTGGGAGGCCATGAGGATGGGGTTTACCTGAAGCTACAGTCCTGTGACAGGACGATCAGAGGCATCTCAGTTGCAGACTGCTGCCTGGAGATGTCTGAATCCCCGAGGGAGGCACACAGATTCCGTGCCACACCGCCCTCCCAGCAGCTGGTTTTCCTGGAGCTCTAAGGTCCGCGCACCCGGAATGTTTGCTTTCAGGGCCTGCTCTGTTTACCTTGTACATCATCAGGGCTCAGCCGAAGACACAGACTTTCCTCTGCTAAGCACAGTGAATAACTTACAAAGGGGAAGGCCACTTTCTTTCTCTTTCTTTCCTTCTTTCTTTTTCTTCCTTCCTTCCTTCCTTTCCTTCCTTCCTTCCTCCCTCCCTCCCTCCCTCCCTCTCTCCCTTCCTCCTCCCTCCCTCCCTTTCATTCCCTTCCTTCCCTTTCTCCCTCCCTCCCTTTCTTTCTCTCTTCCTCTTTCTCCCCTCCTCCCTCCCTCCTTCTTTCCTTCCCTCTTTTCTCTTTCTTTTC